TTTCACTCACACTCTCTCTCCTCTCTAGTCAATTGTGGCACCACCCATGTGAGACAGAGTTGTACATGAGTCACATAATATCCTCTCTTTGCACTGAAATGGCTTCTTCAGCGTGTCAAGCTCTGTGCTCCAGTGGCTGTCTCTGTTGCATCTCCAGCCTATACTGTATGAGTGATGACAGGGAGCAACTGGCTTCCATTGGGATCTAATCAAATGTGAGGCTCCATGCGACTGTAGCCTGATAGAGAGACGCTTTAACAGAGCTGCTCAAGGGAGACTCATCCATCAACCTGCAACCAACCAAAGTAACACTGGGATACCAGTGGCAAAGATGGAGAGCTCGCTGACTGACTCAATGGAGGCATGTGTGAATTTGTCTGCATATGCATGCAACAGATATGGAGAACCAGAAAAGATAATGATGTTTTGCCTTGCTTTAACCCAGACTTTTAAATGTTTGACAGTAACGATATTTGATACATCTGACAAGCCTGGTAACAGTTATTTGACATTAAATGAGGCATTCAGGAACACGGTAGCACCAAAGAGCATGGCTCATGAAATGTAATGTCAGTGCTGCCACTGTTATCACTGGCTGAAAGTTACCAGTCATCACTTAATATAAATAGGTGTCTTCTCAGATGCACATTGCTGTCAGGATGCCAGATCTCATTGATTTTGTTTCAGTCTGTGACTTTATAAGAGAATCAGCAAAGTGTGTAAAAAAAAAAAAACTAAGCAAGAATCTACTAGAGCAGTGGTACTACATGTGCTGAGTATGCCTTGTTTTAAATTTATTTTAAACTTAAAGAAAAGAAGCAAAGAAAACGTAAGCGACTGTGTGAACAATAGATTCTGAGAACAGATCATAGATTATCGCTTTCCTTAGCTTTTGGAAGAAAATGAAAGAGACAAGAGAGAAATGAAGTGAACAAACATCAGATAAGGATCAAATGATTTACTGAGTTCAAAATGAGGGATGTGTAGAAGGTGTGTGTGTGTGTGTGTGTGTGTGTGTGTGTGTGTGTGTGTGTGTGTGTGTGTGTGTGTTTCTTCTTGTCTCGAGACAGCAGGCCTGTGAGGTCAGTACCTAATCACAGCGGAGGTTAGATTTCTATCTATAGTATCCCCCCCCCCACTGGCCACTCTCTCGGTTACTGTCTGAGATCCTCTGTGGGGGCAGAGGAGAAAGGATTCAGATAATATTAGTGAAATGTTTCCAGTTACACAGACACACAGTGGAAAGCATTTAGATTCTGTGGGCTAAAGTAAGTATGCATGGGAGGTTTAGCAAAGGCACCCGTGGGTGTTATGTTTCTAATCAAGCATGGCATTGACCTTACGTTTATTTAGCGTTTATTTATTGTTTACTTAGTCCCATTACCTCTCAGCTGTGTCCCTGCAGTGACACAGCTATAATTCACTCCCATAATTAAATATCTGGCTGAAAACTCAAAAGCCTGATTTTCTCCAATTGAATTCCTAATTCCTCACAGATACGCTGCATCAGCTTGCAGAGTCACTGAGGCTCTGAGTTAGACAAGCTACACTGAAATGTGAATATATAGAGAGAAAAAGAATGGAAAAGGAGGAGGGGAAACAAAGAAGTGAAGTCAAGAGGAGGAATAAGAATTTAGAGTAGATACAGAGAGGAGGAGAAAGTAAATTAGAGAGAATCAGATCAGACAGAAGATGAAAGATGTAGTTTTTGTGCCAGGACAACATTTGGCTAACTCTCCTTCTGGGCGTCATCCAGGCACTTAGAGATTGGTGACACACACTGGCATCTGTCTGTTTGTGTGCCAGTGCATCGTGTATATAAATGTGTGTGTGTGTGTGTGTGTGTGTGTGTGTGTGTGTGTGTGTGTGTGTGTCTACTGTATGTGTGAGTTTATGTGTGGTCACTGGAGTTTAGAGATTATAGCAAGAGGTGAGGCCAAACTGAGAACAGCTGTTGACATACAAGCCACATGACACTGATTTATTTTTGATTCCAGCCTAATACCTATTCCTAACCTCGTAATGTAGACACACACACACACACACACACACACACAAACATGCAGTTATAACTCAGTATGACTGATATAAAAGCTGTCATTCTCTCTCCTTTGCTGTCAGGCTTCTCTTATCTCTATGGTGACACAGTGACAGGGCTCCATCTATCCCTAACACGCTGACACACACACACACACACACACACACACACACACACACATACAGATGTGCAAAACACACATGTGCATACATACTGTATAAATATACATTTTAATATATGTACACACATCAGGCCTGAATGCACAGTTATAGCACATAGTCCAATTATGGTTACTGGTTACAATTATTTATTACTTCCATTCATCTCTTTTTGGCTTCATCTTATCTTTGAGGCTGCTCCACACAGATCATTTAACTTTCATCTGAAATCTTTGGTGCGCGTGCACACACACACATACACAGAGTACTTGAAGGCTTCCGATGCTTGACTTCTTCCACTATTTCTCCTCACCCACATCTGCAGACTTTGGGAGCAGAAATTTAATAGGAAATACAGCTAAAGATATACTGTAGTGGACCAGAACAACTATGGCCAGGAGCCACACATATATACACACAAGCTCTTTGTATCTTAACTTGGAGATTCTTATAAACTTTTTAAAACTTTAGTCAACATGTCGGCTGTTGGATGAAGCATAAAGGTAGAGAAGAAACAAGAAAGAGAAGCAGAAAGAAAAGCTTGAGGAGACCAGAGTAGATGATTATGGCACACTACTACCATCTACTGGACATAAGAGTAACCTGCAGGATCCCTTTTTCCTCAGCACAAATTGGGGCACTAGTTACACTGACAGGCCGCATTTCACAGATTTTTCCTGAATATGAAACTTGCAGCTGATCCTACTTTCTACCTCTCACTACAGTAAAAAGGCAAAGAACATCAATGAAAACTAAAAATAAAGACAGTCTTTCATAGGGCTTTTGGATGCTAATGAGTCCTCTCATATGTGCAGGTAAGCTGTATACTTGTTCCACGTGTCCTTACCTTGAGGGCGACAAAGCACAAGCAAGGAGCTCAGAGCTTCCTGATGAAAAGCAAATACATACTAGACAAACTGTAGCACCCCCATCAGCTGTTATAAGACCAGTCGTATCCCAAAACACAGAGCACGTCAAGGTTTGGGCTATTTTTGTTCAACAAAACCAGGATGCTTTTCACATGGTTTCACTGCAAGACAATGCAAATGTGAAAATTCCCCTTGACAAAATTGTAAGGCTGCTTTTTCACTGTGATTGGCTTAAACAAACAACACAAAAAACTGTTTCCATTATGTATATTACCAAGCCAATTTAGTGGTGGGAAAGTCTTCATGTAAAACCATCTACAAAGAAATATGATATGCAATCATATATCATCACACAGATGTATCCTGTAAATACAGGATGGGCTGTAACAAAGTTAAAGAAGCTAAATCAACAATTTCACAAATGGCACACACACCCAAACCATGTCTTCAGTAAACATATGCAAATCAGGATATATCCTTCACTTAAATATTGAGCAAAGATGACGCTTACTCCTAAACAGTATGCCCACTTAGTCCAACACAAAGTGGTTAATTGCTCCTGATGACTGTCCTTGGAAGTGGAGAGGACAGGTAGATAACAGGTACTTAGAAGATCTGGGGAGGGAAGGGTGGCCGAGAAGGACTGGAGGTCGTCATGAATGATGCCCACTGTGCTTTTTGTGATATCAGATTCCTCCTCAGCAGAGACCTCAGTTAAAGGAACAGTGCAGATGTGGCTAACAGCTACAACAAAAGAAAACAGCTTCAAAAACGTAAATTAAACATAGCTGCTGCTTTTAGCTCTGCGGGCCCCTGCAGGTGGTATGAATAATTAACAGGGGCCAGCAAGTGAGGTAAGGTACCAGGTTGGGTGTTTTGTTACTCCAGCCTCACTTAGCATGAGCCTACATCACTACATAACCTCATCTATTCACCCAGCTCGAGTGCAGGTGTGTGTGGAGCTCGCTACTTTAGATGTTTCTACCATCTGATACCTACAAAACCTCTTTGCTGCTTGGTAACAAAATTCCCAGTAGAAAGCCTATACATCCCCTATCCAACTGAAACTAGCTGCAACAACTGCTGTGATCAACACCAGCTTGGATGGGTCTCAGAAACAGACTATATGGCTTTCTCTGTCCAATACTGTTAATTGGCACCGATAAAACGCAGCAACCAGTTCTCAGTAGAAGTAAATATGCTGGTTAGACATAACCACAGCAGAACTTTCTCTCCACTCTTCTTTCAGTCCTTATATTTGTATTTTAAAAACAAAGGGAATGCATTATACAACAGCCATGTTTTAAGAAAAGTTCAAATCATCTCTGCAAACAAAATATGTCATTTTTATTTAGCATTAGTATTTTGTTTACATCGCTCCATTTACAACATGGACAGACATGACAGGAAAAACAAAGACTCTATATCATTTTAAAATAAAAGTGAAATGACAAACTGGAGGACAGACAAGAACATAGACTACAGAGTACACCAGGAAGTTCAGAGTTAAGAAAAACAGGTGGACAAATGGAACAATACATCACAGGAACAGAGGCGCATCAGCCTGTAAAGTATAGACACATAAGAGAACTAAAGCACGGGACATTTAAGTATGTAGGCTCTAACAACATTAATACTGAAAATACAATAAAAAAAAACAAAAAAAAAAAACACAAATCTTCAAACATTTTTTCTTTCCAGACCCTGGTCATAGCCTGTGAAGCACCTGCAGACCCACCTGATGATGATTCAAGTATAACAGTCTCTGTTTTCAGCAGGGCTGGGTTGGGCCATGCAAGTGTAATTGCAGCTCACAGAGAAAGGAATATCATGAAGCTTTTCTCAGTCAACATGCAAGATTTGTGAACATCTGGGTTGGCCCTCGAAAAACCTTAATGAGTTAAGTGATAGTATTTCCTTTGATTCCTTTTTACATTGCCAGTTTTGTCTGTGTGTGAGGCATTATTAAGTTTGTAAACAGTGCCTTTAGTAGGATGCCCAATAGCAAGATACAGAATCCCCACAAATGCCAAAGATACCCTTCCAGCTTGTGTGTACTTTGATGTCACTGACTGGGCTTCATGAATATGGAATTCTGCAGCAGGGATCAGTGTCACTTGGACACATTGCTATTCATTGTGGACATTTTGTTTTGCGCGCGTTATCAGATGATCACGCCCTCCCCTGATCTGCATTTAGAATGAACAGAGATGAAGGCAAAACAATGGGCAAGAAACAAGAGCAAAATAATGCGGAGTGGAATGACACATAGGATGATTACTCAAAAGAACAAAACATTAAATCTCTTTCCACTGCATGCACTCAGTATGATAACAAATTAAGAGAATAAGTTAAAAGAGAGTGCCTGTTTTTAAATGGCTCTCATGGGCTAAACCTGATCTCATCTGCTTTGTTTCACCCTTACACAGTCTAAACCTGTAAAGTGATCTAAAACACACAAGCATTGAAACAACAAGCACACTTACACACTGGTATTCACGCATACTTCATACACACATTGTCATTATAAATGGCCACATAATAGAATATTAATCATTTACACTCAGTCAATATGATTACTGAAGGTCTGCTTTAGAGCAGATTCAACAAATAAATCATAGAACAATGATATACAAAGTCAAGTGTTTAACTAAAAATGGCAATCAAGTGAGCAATCTTTCCTAGTTGACAAACTGATGAAGCGTGCAGAATTAAGACATGGGACAGATGAAGCAAGTAATCACCAATCAGTCACTCAGCCCTGATCACCTGACTGGATGAGCTGAAGCGCATGTGATCTGACTCTGCAGATCCACAGTGTCCACGGTAATATCATTACTTCATAATTTAACAAGATTATAACCCTTTTCACACTGATGAGCCAAACATAGTTCAGTGGAGATACCCTGTACCAGAGCACAGGTCAGTCAAGAGACAATGGGAATGCTGCACAACTATGCACAGTCACAGGTTGGCACTACCATGTGAAAAGGAAAAAAAATTTTTTTTTTCAACTGTCTGATTAGTAAAAACACAACCACCGTGACTACTGTGGATAACAACAGAAAGCACAGATCTGTGCACAGTGCTCCTGCCGTCATTGTTTTGTTTCACAATGCAGGTATCAACTTAGAGCGGGGAGTATACTGTACATCTACCACCACAATTTCACATGACCAATACATGAAATAAATTAAAAACAAGAGTAAACGGTTAAAAAAGTCCTTCATTATAATGCATGTGTACAGTAATAAATAGCTTTGTCCTCTATTTAAACTTTACTAGACACGTGTTGAGGCAGAGGTTGTAATTTAAACTCTAAACACTTCAGAAGTTACCTGTTTGTTTTATAATTTAGTTCTAAGGGTAAAGGGTTGGCACTCAGGGGTTCCCCCTCATTCACCATCCCTCTACTGGTAAAGAACGCAGGAAGACAACAAAGAACATGCTGAAGAGAAGACGTACATGTAGGAAAGATGCCATCTAATGTGTTTTTCCTGTGTTTTGTCCTCAGTGACTTTACAATTTGGTGATGTATTGCTCTAGCTGCAGTTGTTAAGTGTCCTTCATGAATTCACCTCAGTGCACACATACACACACCAAACCACTAACATACATACACACGCGCACAGATTTTGAGCACCCAATGCCTTGGTCTGTCCCCACACGATGCTTTATCTTTCTACAGCCTCTTGCTTGCTCTAAGTAGCAGGTGCCTTGATACAGCCTTTTCTCCTAGTTTTCATAAAACTACTAAGCCAAACTACTACTTCATCCTTCTTGGCCATTCATAACATTAATTCATCTTCTTCTCGTTTTTCAAAGAGCCATTGCGGTTGTGTTTCCCGTTGGCCATGCTCTCACTATGGCAGTGTCCATTAGCCATGTTACCATCATCCCTGATGTTACCACCTCCTCTGCGCTGGTCCCCAGTCTTACCCCTCAACAATCGTACCAACCGGTGCAAGGTGAAGCCGGTCAGAGCCAAAGCAGCCCCCACAGTAACAATCACATCCAGTAAGAAGTACTGGTAGAGAGACACCTTGTATACGGCGGAGCGCAGGTGGTTGGCACCATGGTGACGGAGGATGTAGCTAATCCAGTAGACAGCCCTGGTCACAGGGTGGCCAGGCTGGTCTTTGTGAATGCTGGACAGAAGACGTGCTTGCTGGCGGTACCTGGGTAGGCAGAGTAAACAAAGTCTTTAGCTTCGGCCTTTCAGCACGCTAGAGGGCAAAAACACAGGAGAACAGCTATGCCTGAAAACTGGAGAATACCACGAGTACTGCACGCGTATCATTGAGGCACTGGATTGTGATGCCATATATGGTCATCAGATGGTGCTGATTGAAAAAATAATACAAATATACAAAGCATTTATTTGCTACTGTGGATGTAAGAATTAGAATTTAACCTGGAGTCTGTAATGACGCTGGTCAGGGCTGTGTAGAGGTCTTCCTCGGTCATGTACTTCCAGTGGAGCATAATACCCATACCTTTGGCTGCCACACGAGTCATAGTGTCATAGTGGTCTCCAAACAGGGGCACACCTACCACAGGTACCCCGTGATACATGGCCTCGTAAATGCTATTCAGACCACCGTGGCTCAAGAAGGCCCTTGTATTGGCGTGGCCTAGATAACAGGAAACATAAGAGAGGTTATTTTGTGTTGTTTGTGTTGTGTTGGTATTGTGTCCATTAGTTGTTTTGACAAAACACTTATTTTGCCGGGTTGGGTTTTTCTAGATTATTTAGACAAGCTGTTGCACACTCAATATTAATGCAAGTGATTTTGCATTCTCTTTACCTCTTTTAACAGTTTAAAAAGGTGTAGTTCACCTAAAACACCTCAGCATAAAGCCATTGGGACTTCTGGATTATTACAAAAAAATAAGCTCTATGACAACAGTTTATGACACTTATAAGTTTTGTTCAGCAAAATAATCTTCACCAGTACACACCACTTTTGACCAAATGCAATCACCGGGCATACAAAGCTATTGTTAGGCTAGACACATACTATACCGTGGTCTCATGGCTGTCACCACTATGGCTTACAACTTGTAATTTGATTTCTAGTACTTTCCTCATCTGCAAAATCCTCTTGTCTAGGCTAGTTATCATGGCTGTGTCATTCAGAATAAATTGCAAGAGCGTGACTTTAAAAATAACAAGGCTGTAAATGCAAGCTAGTGAGTAGATAAGTCTCTATACATATCATGTAGTATTTAATCTGCTCACCTAATAAGTCGTTCTGAGGCATCCAATCAACAAGCTTGGTGTTGCTGCCAAGGTTACTGGGTGGAACTCCAGAAAATCTAAGGAGGAAGAAAGGGGGAAACAAAAGCAATAACAAAAGAAGGAAGGTTAAATACAAGGCTCAGACAGGTTATCTCACTCTCGAATAGATTATGTTGCTGTCCCAGTGTGCGAGCCAAGGAAAATACTGATATTGTACTTCAGTTATATTTGAATGGCGGCTAGTCAAAGTATTTCAAATTTATGTATGCCTAATATGTCAAAGAGTGAACACATACCACTTGGATTTTAAGCAAATTTCTATATTACACTATATTCAGCTGCCTGATTTTTAGGTTCACTGAGCTAAAACTAACACAGTCTAACAATAGAGTAAATTCTCCCTTAATAAACCTAATGATGTCTTCATACATACATACACACACACACCCACACACACAACCCCAAGTTTCGTCAACATCGAGGAACAGCCCACTAGCTACACCTGTGCTCATGGTCACCTCCTCTGTCTGATCACAGGTTACTACCAAGAAAGCAAATATGTTTTTTCAGTATTTTCCTGACATATTTAACTACACCTTCAATTTGAGTTTTCTCAATTCACTGCTGGGTTAACCAGCTAGACATTATACTAGCTATATAAGGCTATGGTATTGCTAATACAACATTAGAAGAATTGTTGGACTAACTGTTTTTAACTAAGCTTATTCTTGTGGATGCTTTTTGGCGTCCACAAAGTAAAGTAATCTGACAGTTTATACTTTTTTAAATTTTCTTTCCTTGATGCTGTACTAATGCATTTACTACTTTCATCAAACTACTGCTTATGGTATCTAATCTTTCTCTGATTTATAATGACTCTCACAGAATTAGTTGTTTTAACCAGTATTTTTTTTTTTCAGTTTCACAACTGCTTTTAGTAAAAACCTAAAAAGGCCAACTACTATACTAGAAGTGTGTTTAGCTTGTTACAAGGCTGTATACCAATGTACTGTACACGCACAGTGAGGGCAGAAAATGTGCTGTGTAAAGAGGAGATGCCATTTATATAGAAGGTTAAATGAATCAACCAAGTCTAGCATCTACATGTACATAATGTACAGTGAACAAAGGGGAAATGAATGTTGACCTCTTTTCCTTAGCAAAAAACAACAAGCAGAAGGACCTCACTTGTTCACCATCAGACATTTAGGCTTCGACACCGTCTTCTACTTATGGAGGTGGCAAATGTATAGAATATTTTGTGCATGTTTGTTGGTGTCTGTGGTTGTGTGTCCAAAAGCATCTTTCGGCAAATGCAAGCCACAATTCAGTACATATGCACGCCACGTCACAAACCCTGTCCACCCATCTGTCCCTTTCCCTTCCTAACCCAAACTCTTTCATCTCTCCTTCTCTTTTCAACAAAGCCCCAATGTCCTGCCAATCAAAGCTTACATTCACACAGCCAATTATCAATGACACGATTCATTTGGCTTAGTCCCCGCCCCTCTCATCAGTGCTTCTCCTTTTACAACTGAAAGCCAGATTACCATTCAATTTCACATGCAAAGTCTTGGGTCTTACAAGAGGCTCTTGGCAGTTCCTAAAAGTTTCAGATCATTGTCTCACTTCACCCATAGCCTTGGTCAGACACCTACAGTACAGTACAGTACAGTACAGTACAATACATGTGAAGCATCATTGTCTAATATCTCACCATCAAGGAGTGGTAAGCTTGATCCATCTCCCTTTTCAATGGTAGATCGACATTCCACTTATTCTAAGTCAGATGCATTCCCTACTGTAACTGAGTCAACCTAATTTCCTCACCTGCTTAAAAAAGCTACAGTATATGACTGAAGGTAGCACTAGCATGAAACTGCAAATCAATCACTCTGCTCCCTCCAGCACTTTCTACCTGCTCCACTATGATCAGCTCCAGCACACTCTGCCCAGCTTTTCAAATATTTGTCATTAAGAAATTACAATAAATGAGAATGTAACAAAAACTACTGATCAATCAGAAATAATTGAAAACTCTCCTGAGAACGCCGCTGGTTTGAGAGAGGAGTCAAGGAAGCTGTTTTGTCCAAATCGAACACCCCTCACTAAATAGGGGTGGTGGACTAAGACACAACTTGTCATCCATCTACAACTCTGTTTTGAGATCTCTGCCCAAGCATTCCCACCCTAATTCACACCAGGACAATAGGCATTGGGCCACATATACCTTGTCAGAACCTTCTCTGTTAGTATTGGCGACTGCATCTCTAATATAGCTCCCCTCACCTCAGGTGTTCCGCAAGATTCGACCCCTGGCTCCATTACTCTTTTCTCTATATATCTCACCTCTTGCGGCTATTATATCTAGCCATTATGTTCATTTCCACTTTTATGCAGACGATGTTCAGATTTATATGCCACTGCTGTCTGACTCCAATGCTCTTACCCCGTTGCATAATTGCATTCGGGATATTAGGCAATGGCTTGCGCAAAATTTTCTGCAGTTAAATGAGAGTAAGACCAAATACATCCTTATTAGTCCTGATCCATCGCCTGATGTTGTTAACCTCTGCACTTCAGTCTTCCCTCTATCTGACACGGTGAGAAATCTCGGTGTAATTCTTCATAGTGGTTTTACTTTTGAGAAACAGATTAGGGCAGTGGTTAAGTTGCGTTTTTTTCAGCTAAGACTTATCTAAGGTTAAACCTTTTTTGTCACATGCAGATCTGGAGAAGGCTATTCATGCGTTTATTATTTCACAGTTAGATTATTGCAATGCTCTATATGTTGGAGTTCCCCAAACTTTGCTACAACTAGTCCAAAATGCAGCAGCTCGGTTGCTATCTAACACCCCCAAGTTTGCTCATATCTCCGCTATTCTCTGTGCACTTCACTGGCTTCCAATCCAATTCAGAATTACATTTAAGATTTTATAGTTTGTTTTTAAGGCTATTCATGGCCTTGCACCTCCTTACTTATCGGACCTGTTGGCAATGTATGTGCCACGAAGAGCTCTCCACTCCGCTGATCATTTGTCGCTGGTGGTCCCACGATCCTGCTATAAGAAATGGGGCGACCGTTCCTTTTCTATTTGTGGCAGAACTATGGGTGGAAAGCGAACTAGTGGCCTTTAAGTTGGCCTTAAAGACCCACTTCTTTTAGTAGGCTTTTGAGGCCTAGCTTGTTTTATCGTTTTGTTTTAGCTTTGGTCTAGCAACAGTATTTCCTTATCTGTTTTATAGTCATTGTTTTGTTGTGTGTGTTTTTATTGTACAGCATTCTGGTGCTCCTGTGAGTTGGAGAGCGATATACAGTGCCTTGCGAAAGTATTTGGCCCCCTTGAACTTTGCGACCTTTTGCCACATTTCAGGCTTCAAACATAAAGATATAAAACTGTAATTTTTTGTGAAGAATCAACAACAAGTGGGACACAATCATGAAGTGGAACGAAATTTATTGGATATTTCAAACGTTTTAACAAATAAAACACTGAAAAATTGGGCGTGCAAAATTATTCAACCCCCTTAAGTTAATACGTTGTAGCGCCACCTTTTGCTGCGATTACAGCTGTAAGTCACTTGGGGTATGTCTCTATCAGTTTTGCACATCGAGAGACTGAAATTTTTGCCCATTCCGCCTTGCAAAACAGCTCGAGCTCAGTGAGGTTGGATGGAGAGCGTTTGTGAACAGCAGTTTTCAGTTCTTTCCACAGATTCTCGATTGGATTCAGGTCTGGACTTTGACTTGGCCATTCTAACACCTGGATATGTTTATTTGTGAACCATTCCATTGTAGATTTTGCTTTATGTTTTGAATCATTGTCTTGTTGGAAGACAAATCTCCGTCCCAGTCTCAGGTCTGTTGCAGACTCCATCAGGTTTCCTTCCAGAATGGTCCTGTATTTGGCTCCATCCATCTTCCCATCAAGTTTAACCATCTTCCCTGTCCCTGCTGAAGAAAAGCAGGCCCAAACATGATGCTGCCACCACCATGTTTGACAGTGGGGATGGTGTGTTCAGGGTGATGAGCTGTGTTGCTTTTACGCCAAACATAACGTTTTGCATTGTTGCCAAAAAGTTCGATTTTGGTTTCATCTGACCAGAGCACCTTCTTCCACATGTTTGGTGCGTCTCCCAGGTGGCTTGTGGCAAACTTTAAACGACACTTTTTATGGATATCTTTAAGAAATGGCTTTCTTCTTGCCACTCTTCCATAAAGGCCAGATTTGTGCAGTATACGACTGATTGTTGTCCTATGGACAGAGTCTCCCACCTCAGCTGTAGATCTCTGCAGTTCATCCAGAGTGATCATGGGCCTCTTGGCTGCATCTCTGATCAGTCTTCTCCTTGTATGAGCTGAAAGTTTAGAGGGACGGCCAGGTCTTGGTAGATTTGCAGTGGTCTGATACTCCTTCCATTTCAATATTATCACTTGCACAGTGCTCCTTGGGATGTTTAAAGCTTGGGAAATCTTTTTGTATCCAAATCCGGCTTTAAACTTCTCCACAACAGTATCTCGGACCTGCCTGGTGTGTTCCTTGTTCTTCATGATGCTCTCTGCGCTTTAAACAGACCTCTGAGACTATCACAGTGCAGGTGCATTTATACGGAGACTTGATTACACACAGGTGGATTCTATTTATCATCATTAGTCATTTAGGTCAACATTGGATCATTCAGAGATCCTCACTGAACTTCTGGAGAGAGTTTGCTGCACTGAAAGTAAAGGGGCTGAATAATTTTGCACGCCCAATTATTCAGTTTTTTATTTGTTAAAAAAGTTTGAAATATCCAATAAATTTCGTTCCACTTCATGATTGTGTCCCACTTGTTGTTGATTCTTCACAAAAAATTACAGTTTTATATCTTTATGTTTGAAGCCTGAAATGTGGCAAAAGGTCACAAAGTTCAAGGGGGCCGAATACTTTCGCAAGGCACTGTAAATAAAAGTTTTATTATTATTATATGTAACGGTTCAAAGACAGGTATGACGCTCACCGATACAGGCTATAACAGCTCAGCAGTTAGGGCCATTGTTGGCCACCAAATGACTGAAACACCACCCATAGGGATAAATATCTCTGGCTCAACACCAGTTGAACAGAAGTGATGAAGCCTCTTGGATGAGAGGTGAAACATCTTCTATCTAAAACCAAGTCCAGTTGATTTTTTCCTATGTTTTTCAGTTTACTATGACCTGGATCACTGAGAATCTGCACGGATACATTAGTGATCCACTACTTGTACAAACCAGAACAGACTGACCTATATCATCTAATAATGCAATCTCTAAATTTGTCATTTATGGGACTAAAAACTACACAAAAAGTGTGTGTGTGTGTGTGTGTGTGTGTGTGTGTGTGTGTGTGTGTGTGTGTGTGTGTGTGTGAGAGAGAGAGCGAAAGTAGTCTTACACCTTGAGGACTACTACAGTGTGGCTATTGAAATTAAACATCATGATGATTGCCCTGAAAATGCCTGAAATCAACTACTGAAACAGCTGACTTGAAGTCAAAGTGTTTATTTGTCATATGCACAGTTAGGAAATGTGTTTCCCTGTACAATGAAATAAATGTGATAAAGTTAAGGATTAACACATTCATAGATCCTCTTCTGTCACTCCCAGTTTCTCTCCCCTTATTTTTAGCACTCTCCAGCTCAGGTCACTGTCAGTGGATCATTGCTGTGGGACTCTGTAAGTGGTTACTGAAAATTAGAGTTCAGTTACACCTCTCTAACCCAGAAATCAATATCTTTGTGAAGAAATTCTTGTTATTTTGTTCTGACCTCAACAAACATTTGCAGTGTTTACACAGTGATGACAGGATTCATGTAGATGTTACAACAACTTTAATTTTATAGCCTCACCAGTACTTTTTTAAGACTGATATTGATATTCATAAAAGAGAGAAATCTAGTCCAGTTGATTTTTTTCAGCTTACTATGACCTGGATGACAGAGAATCTGCACAGATACATTAGTGATCCACTACTTGTACAAACCAGAACAGACTGACCTATATAAACAAATTTTATCATCTAATAATGCAATCTCTAAATTTGTTGTTATTTATGGGATTAAAAACTACACAAAAAGTGTGTGTGTGTGTGTGTGTGTGTGTGTGTGAGAGAATGTGGTCAACAAATCAAACTTTTAAATGTGATAAAGTTAAGGATTAACACATTCATAGATCCAGTTCCACTTTCTCTCCCCTTATTTTTAGCACTCTCCAGCTCAGGTGAGGTCAGTGGATCATTGCTGTGGGATTCTGGATTTGTATGTTTGAGTGAGACATGGAAACGTCACAGTGTATCGTCAGTGTTCTGGAAAATCACATATTTGACTTTGCCTAAATCAATGACATGCAAAAAGCTTTCAAGGCATTGGCTGAAAAAAAACTTCACAAATCAACTGGACTAGATTTCTAGGTCGAAGACACCCAGAGCCCCATGGATGTCAGAACCTGAAGATCACAACCCAAGAGAGTCCTGACCACATCCATCACACTGACAGCTGTGCATTGAGTGAAAAGGAGGAAGCAGATACTTTACCTCCACACGACACGTTGGGGCAGTCTGGCGAGCGCTCCTGCCAGTTTGTGAGCAATATCATGGGAAAGGTACTTGACCCCAGCTCCAAATGACACAACCACAAAGCCATGCTGTGCTGTGTCATTCACCCAGGCTTCAAAATCCTGTAGGGATATGAGAAAAACTAAATAAGACCCAAAAAACATTGTGTAATAGTGTAGTACTGCCTCACATTACAGATGATGATTCAAATTTAACAGCTTAGCTCCACCTCAGATTATGAAAGAGCCATAAAATCCTTGAAATATACATTGTTGTTATCTTTATTTCTTTATAAACTGACCTACAGCACATGACTTGATTTTATGACAATAATTTAAGTGAGGTTCTGAGTGACTTAGAGTTTCACAGAGAAATGTCATCATAAACTCACTGAACCCAACGGGGAAACTTTACCACGGTGTGAAGAGTACACTAAAAGGTTGTAATAACATTATAATTTGAATGCATCAGGCATATAAACTGATAAACGCTCAGACTATAAACCCCTTAACAAGTACAATCACAAGTTATCAAAAAATTCATCTGCTGCTGGTTGTTAAAATATTTCCATGTACAGTTGCATACTTACATTTAAATCCAGGTATATTTTTACATAAAACTGCACCGAGTGGAAATGTATCAAGCAAAACAGATTGTCTAATGTATAAAACTTTTAAATACATGCAAGTTAATACTTCAGAACCTTAAGTACAGATGTAGATTTATACACATTTCATATTATAACATTACTAAAACCAATGTTAAAAATCCAAAAAGTCACCAATTTTAATGTGCCAGTATCACTTTATTTCTAGATGACATTATTTCCACGTCCCGCATCTGGAAGGAGAGTGCATTTCGCGTTTGACACAAAGTGCATCATCCTTTTATTCAGGTCCCCAACAGACAGAAATACCGAACTCTGAAATCTACATTACCTTTTGGCCAAAATGTATTTTTCAGTTAATGTGACATGAATGTTTGTCTTAATAAGTGCTACGTACTGCAATTTGCTTTATAATTTAAAACTGTACATAAAGTCAACAAGTGGTGTTTCCCCAAGAGAACTCTCTATAAAGGTCTGGGTTTTTTTTGCCAACGTATATATGCATCACCTCAATAAACCAATGAATGTATAAACTGAAACTACACAAAAGCTAGTCTACTGTTGGGAAAAGAATAAGATATATTTCACTGACTATATGGGGAAGCTTGTTTTATACTCACAGCATTGCTCATTAACAGTGAGTTACAAAGCACCATGAAATTACAGTACACAAATGTCAGGCAGCCAACAAGCTCCCACACAATGGAGATAAATACTCATCTAATTCATGCATCCACAACATCTTAACAGATTAGTTCACTCCAATAATAGAAAGCAATATTTCCTTTTGTACCCTTAGCAGCACAGTATCTAGCCATGTCATTAGTTTCCGTTTTATGTGCTGTGTTCTGAGGTACTCTTATCTGAGTAACAGTACAATGGAGGTGAAACGAGTTTATTTTCTGATTCTCTGAAAACACTTAACAGCATCATGTTTCTCTAGAAACAATATCCTAGTTACTCTGGATAGTCAGATGCTGCTGACATCAGCTTTCATTTGAACATTAATTAATTTATTTATTTTTACTAAACGCAATCCCAAGTCTTGATTTAGCCATGAAATCACAAGCATTCACCAATTTAAAGTACAGTTACCTTGAATGATAGACATGAGCTATCGTGTCCATCTGTTTGCTTTTTACACACTTTTATTATCTGGGCCAGATACAGTGCAGTGCAGCTCCCAGTTGTAATTACTAGTTGCAAGTCTGAAACTGGTAAAATATGTCTTTATGGATGTAAATGCAGATGATCTCATTTCTGTTTTAGGACATAACACAGTTGGATTGAAGAGTTAGCAAAGAATACTACAATTATCAAATTGGAAAAAAGAAGCAATGTTTACATGTTAAATATAAGTTTATATATAAGATTTAACGCCTGCCTGCTATTAATATCCATTTGTATACTGTAGCTATGGTCTATGAATAAGATGTTGCTGGGACATTTAAAACGTCAGCACCATAGCAAGGAAGCCTGTGGATGCACACGGTATCTACCAGCTAACAACTCCACTGAGGCAGTGAAAACTGGATAAACCGCACGCCTTGGGAAAAATATAGACAATCGTACTCCAGGGCACTGTTCCTGGAAACAAGAGAGCTGTCCTAGATTTCACTCATAGGAGTTATCTGCATCACGTGCTAAAACTGCTTCTTGGAACAGGGTGCAGAGTGAAACTCTTGGGTGCTGAGATCGCTTGCAATGAGCTGATCAAAAACACTTGTCACTAGGCAGATGATGTTAAGAACATCAAGTCAGTGGTTTTACAGATTAAAATGTTTTTTTTTTCTCCTTGGCTGTGTGCACATATTTGAGATGGCAGCATATAGTATAGCAAAACAGTAATTTGAGGAGGCATGAACTAACAATGGGTGGGGACTGCCCAAGGAGCAGCCATGTTAAAGTGACAGAAGCAGAGGACAAGCTGAGGGAGGGAGGTTAATGGTACAGCTGCAGCAGCTAAAGCCGGCCCTGGCACGGAGTATCTTCAGAGGCACACTGGGCTCTGTGTCCCAGCAGCACAGCCCTACTGTCTCTACACTGCAGCCTCAGTGACCCCATAGAAGAGTCTCAGTGCCCCCAGAGGTCTGTCCAGAACAATGGTCTCGTTCTCCCTCCACTTCCATTATAACTCCTTCCACACAACATGGCACAATGCTCCCTATTGGCTAGAGTGGCATTCCAAAACCCTCCGCAGTAGATACCAATGGGCCACACTTTGGGCATCTGAACGCTGGAGCAACCCCCGTCACCACCCGCCTCGAGCTCTCCATGACTCTCCTCCCTTCCCTCTCTGTTCGAAATCTACCATGTCCATTCAACTCAAAGTCATCCGCACCCCAGCATCATCTATAAATGCTTGCTTTGTAGCACAATGTGATAATAAGGGATACCAAGTGACTGGAGAAACAATGGGGACAAGTAAGAGTAGATACAAAAAAAAAAAAAAAACCCCAGAGAAACCCAGTCAGACTGTTGAGGGGAGGG